GTCATTCAGCACGAGCTGTCTCCTATGGAATTCACCTCGGGTGGGGTCGAGGTTTTTTCGATGCTCGGGCGAGATAGGGATTCTTGTATGACGGATTTGTTTCCGCCTTTCTTTCTCGTGCTCGCGAGCTTCAAAAGTATATCGGCCCTTGTGTTTTTATCCTGTGGTACGTGCGAAACTTCTGCTCGGTTGAACTTTTTCATGTACTCTTTGACTAAGTTCAGGTATTCGATGAGGCTGTTGTTTTTAGCCTGGTATCCTCCTTGGACTTGGTACGCGGCGAGTTGAGAGTCGGTGAAGATTTGTACCTCACGGGCACCTAGGTCCTCGGCTAGTCTTAGACCTACGAGCAGGGCTTCATATTCCGCTTGGTTGTTCGAGGTCGGAAAGGATAGGGTGAGCGAATTCTCGACCACCACACCTTCCTCGTTCTCTATCAGGATCCCGGCGCCACTCCCGGACGAGCTGGATGCTCCATCGACAAAGATGATCCACTTGTGCTCTTTTCTTGCGGGGGGTTGTGAGCGGTCATCTCCGCGACGAAATCGGCCAAAGCTTGTGCCTTTAGGGATTTCATGCTCTTGTATTGGATGTCGAACTCAGAAAGTTCCAAGGACCATTTTAGCATTCGACCTGCCATGTCTGGGCGACTCAGGAGCTGTTTTACGGACTGGTCTGTTTGCACTACGATCGTGTGCGCGAGGAAATAGTGTCTGATCCTTCTCACAACATTGATGAGGGCTAGATATACCTTCTCTATCTGTTGGTATCTAACCTCGGGCCCTTGAAGCGCTTTTCTCGTGAAATAGACGGGTTTTTGTCCGTCGGGCGTCTCGCAAATGAGGGTCGCGCTGACGGCTTCGACTGAGACGGCCAGGTACAGGAACAAAGATTCCCTGTCGACTGGTCGTGATAGCACGGGCGGCTGAGATATACTTTGTTTAAGATGGAGCAGTGCCCGCTCGCATTCCTCGGTCCATTTGAAGGCTGCTTCCTTACGAAGAAGCTTGAAGAAAGGGAGGGCGTGTTGAGCGGATTTTGCAACGAAGCGGGATAACGAGGTGAGCATTCCATTCAGGACTTGTATGGATTTCTTCGATGTAGGTGTGGAGAGGTCGGAGAAGGCCCGGTATTTTTCGGGGTTGGCTTCGATTCCTTGTTCTGTCAAGTAGAAGCCGAGGAATTTACCCGCCTTGACCCCGAACGTGCACTTCTCGGGGTTAAATCTCATTTTGCATTGCCTCGCTTGAGCAAAGACTTCCCTGAGATGAGCGACGTGGTCGGTGTCTGCTCGGGACTTGACGATCATGTCGTCCATGTATACCTCGAGCATATCCCCGATTTGGTTGTGGAATACTTTGTTCATCATCTGTTGATACGTTGCTCCTGCATTTTTCAGACCAAAGGGCATTACGTTGTAGTAATAGTTGCCCGAGCTGGTCATGAAAGTGGTGCAATGCTTGTCGCTTATTGCCATTGGGATTTGATTATAGCCCGAATAGACGTCCATAAACAATAGTATTTTATAATCGGCCGAGTTATCGACCATCATATCAATATTAGGTAAAGGAAATGCATCTTTCAGGCATGCCCGGTTAAGATCAGTATAATCAACGCACATTCTCCATTTTCCATTATTTTTATTGACAAGTACAACATTTGACAGCCAGGTTGAATACCGGGCTTCAGAAATAAAATTTGCCTCTAGGAGGTCTTTTACATCTTTTTCAGCAGCCTCCGTTTTCTCCAGAGACTGCCTACGTCTACGTTGCACTATTTCTCTAGCGGCTGGATCGATGGCGAGTTGGTGACAGGCAACCTCAGGGTCGAGATCGGGCATCTCCGCAGCGCTCCATGCGAACAGGTCTGCATTCTTGCGCAAGCAAGCTTTAATTTGCTTCCTCGCCAAGTCGGGGAGTCCGGTGCCAATCTTTACTCCTCTGCTTGGGTCTTCACCGAGGGGGACGAGTTCGAAGTCCCAGTCCGGAATTGGTCGAAGGGGGACTTGCTCGCCGCTAGGAGGCTCATCCTGGTCGAAACGAGTGTCCAGGGATATTGAGTCGACCTCTGGAGGGGCTCTCTGCTCTTCCGCTTTGACGGGCTCTGACCTCTGAGGTTTTGGTCGTGTTGTTGCAGCTCTCTTGGTGGGCCTTGTGCTGGTGTCGACTGTATCACGTCCCTTGGATATCGCGTTAAAACTCCTTCGGGGAGCTGCTAGGTCCCCTTGGATGGTGGCGACCTGTGCCCTCTTGGTGTAAAACTTCATTTTTAGATGAACGGTGGAGGGTACTGCGGTCAGCTCCGCCAGTGTTGGCCTTCCCACAATGCAGTTGTAGAGGGAGGGGCAATAAATGACGAGGAAGCGCACCTTGACTTGTCTCGTTGTCGTATCCTCGCCGAATGTGACCATGAGCTCGACGTATCCCCAAGGCTTAGAAGTTGAGCCGTTAAAGTTCATCAGAGTTGGACCGTCACAACTGGCTTCGAATTGGATTTGAAGGAGATGGGGGGTACCTGCAAGACACTCCAATGACAAAGTGAGAGACGGAATGAGCAAGCAAGTAAGTGTATAGGTGTGAATGAATGAATACCTGAACCTCTCAAAATAGAGGGTATTTATAGTCCCCAGCGCTGGGTCAAGGTCCCTTTATTGGGTTGATCAAACAGGCCCAACAAAAGGACTTCCAGGTTCTACGTGAGTAGTGGGGACCTGCACGTGGTCCCCTACCTGGATGATGCTCTCCGCAGAATAGGGAGGGTAAAGACGCATTCTTCCCGGGACCCTGAGGACTCCGCGAAGTCCTGAGAGGTTGAAAGTCTGCCCTATGAGGAGGGTGCTCGGGCAGAGCTTGGATTGGGATGTTCGCCGTCGGGGACGTCCCTCGTCGGGGGACGTTCCTCGCGGGCACCGGCGGGATGTAGTCACATTCGACCAGTTAGCCATGATCGGGATGTGCTCGAATGATCTAATGCTCAGCATGATACATTGACAAGCTTGGATTGGGCCTCACTGGTGATTGGGCCACGAGCAGGCCCAGTCCAGAACAGTAAGAAACCCACAAGGGTAGGAAAGAAGGAGGCAAGAAGAATACAATGAATTTGTTATAAACTGATATTCTTTAATTTCTCTTTGAAACAAGATTACACGTGTTATAGAATTATAAATAACCTCTCTCACCTAATTAGGATTTGCATTGTGCAATGATGAGAGACTAGTATGCTATTTATAAGAAAACTAACACACTAAACTAATGGACTTTTACACACATGCTCATTACACAAGCTAACTTAGGGAACAATCTAACTTAAACAATTGAACTTTTATAAACAAGCGGAATTCAACATGCTAACAATCCTAGTAAATATCGACTAATGCATGTTAGAACAACTTCGACTACAACACACTATTTCAACAGCAACACCCGAATAAGTTTCAACCTCATGCTTAATTCCCCGTCGAACCAGAAGCTACCCCTTCAACCATACTAGAATTTGATTCAATATCTCACATTTAACATAGTGAAATAGCAAGGAGAGTTCATGGTGGTATGGTGAGAGTGTCACTAGGTTTGAGAATCTAAAAAGTGAGAACAATAGAGAACTCGCATAAGGAAAGTAGTGTCTAATATCCAATAGCCAAAAGTGTCATCCAGAAAAGAAGAAAAAAAAAGACATGACCATATAGACCCAACTGGGTTGAATACATCAATAAATAATTTGGTTCATTTTGATCCCAAAAAGAAATCTTTATTTAATATTGATGATGTGTTTTATGTTTGTGATAATAATGGGTGAATTCAAATTTTAATATTCGAACAAACTGCTAGACCAAATTACTTGTTTGTTCTATGTATAAGATAACATAAGAGAATCTGAATTTCAATATCTATACACACTCCTAAAATAAATTACTTGTATGTTATGCATTCCATATGTGATAGCCAATGATGAATCAAAATTTCAATATTCAAACATATTTGTTATTCTTATGATTTAGCATAGTTATTATGGTTTGAATTTTAATTTTCAGATTTTAAAGATATTTTGAAAGTTTTCTCAGCATAGGAGAGTAATGCATGCGGTGCAATCAACATTATTATTTTAGTAATGGCTGTGTGCAAATTGTTTTTGAAAAAAAAACACTAAAATATTTAAGTTGAAAAATTATACTCCTAAAAGATTTTAAAATATGTTGTTTTTAATTTAATTAACAAAATATAGATATTATAAAGTATACTTTACTACCTTTTTATGTTAAATACATTTTTTTCAAAATTAATTAAATAATCATTTCATTTTAGTATTAAATTTTTTTTTTAAAACTTACATATAAAACATCAAAAATAATTTGTTTTCTTCAGAATCTTAAAGAAACTGACTTAAAATATTTTATTTCATCATTTAAAATTTCAATGGATGCCATCACTTCGTTCCAGGCAAATGATAAGACACGTACTAGTAGTTTCATTTTGAAAAAGAGTTCACAAAAACATTCAAAATAAAATTATTGTGCTTAAGAGTAGTTGTGATTTTGAGCATAAATTATTGTAGTATTCTTTAACTTTAGACAAAGATCACAAAAGACAAATATTACTCATTTCACACAACAGAACAGAAAAATAGACAAAATTACTTGTGTTCCTATTCAGGTTTAGTCATTTTTCCAAGTATTGAGTTTATTGAAGCACCATGACAACAAAATTAAAATAGTAAGAAGCAAAAGCATATATGATTTCTACACCACCCCCTCAATATTATACACATACTTTTATTCAGACATTAAAATGTGTACAAAATTCATAATCCTATAAAACTTTTATACCAGTATACATAATTTCTAATGAAACTTCCTAATTATGTAACATTATCATACACATTAAATCCATCAGCAGGCCTTCAAAAATCAATCACATTCAAGGATTTGATTATGAAACTTGCTTCATTTACATTTAACAATAAACTTTTTAGAGCAAATATCATCCCTAATTATAAAAACAAAACTAGTTTTGAGACCTTTTGCGCTTGCTCTTCAAGACAGTAGAAGTTGAAGGATTGCTGTGCCAATTTCTCTTCCTTTGATTGATAAACCAGTTATTAATCTGCTTTAATTGTAGTCCAGTTTCTTGCACCAACCTTGCCTTATCTTCCTCCTGAAAAACACACAACTCATTAGGTTAATTATGCGTATAAGCTATTTCTACTATCGGGTATGAAATGAAGTTAACTTACCGTAGGATAAGGCCATTTAGAATGTGATTGCCACCAAGCCTTAAGGACGGAGGTTGTGTCACCGGGAAGTTTCCCGGCTCGTCTCTTGCGTAAAATTTCCTCTCTTATGTCGACAATTTTCTCCTTGTAACCCTGTAATGTATATAAATATAAAAGAAGATCAAGCATAGGAATGAAGAGTTATGAAAAGAAGGGTGTGGATGAAAATTCGCTAACAACCCTTACATGTTTCAGTTCATGCTTTAGCTCTTGCCTTACGCGCTCCATTAGAGACCTTTCGTTCTCTGTTGGTATAAGAGGGCCAAATCCCATGTTATCTCCGCCACCATCAAAACTACCATCAAACATATTTGCTTCACTATCTACTTGTTCATCTTCGTCGTCAGACATTGTTGCTCCAGTACCTTCTCCAGGTGAAACTCCTGTTCATCGTGCAACATGTGAGAAATATTATCGATTTCATACTTGTTAACAATGAAGCACGAACACCTCTAAGAGCAGGCATGTCGTGGTGTCCGACACTTATATAACACTCATACGAAACGTGTCGGAAAAGTTAGACACCAAAAAATTTGTTTTTTCTTTACTTCAACACTCTTTGAATCGGTGTCAGACACTCATACAACACTTATCGAACAATTCAGACAAATGTTTCAAAAGAAAAAAATGTTTTTTTCTTTACTTCAAGACAACTTATACAATTTTTTAAGACAAATCTCATACACATATAAAATGGTTATAAATGTGTTGAAGCAATGTTATCAATGAAGAATCGAAGATATTGATATTGATTAGAATATTTGTAACTCTTTTAATAATAAATGAATAAATAAAGGCCAAATAATATCATATATATATATATATATATATATATATATATATATATATATATATATATATATATATATATATATATATATATATATATATATATATATATATGCAGCGGTGTCGGTGTCCTATATTTTTGAGATTATCGATGTCGAAGTGTTCGTGTTGTGTCGTGTCGCGGTGTCTGTGTCAGAATCCGTGCTTCATATGTCAGAGGCCTAAAATTTTCAAAGTACCACACAAGGAGCCTTTGAAATGCGCACACGGTGTAAAAAAAAAATTGAATTGGTATTACAAGAATCACTAATCGCGGAAACATAATTAAGGTGACAAACAATCTAAAAAAGTGATTAAGAAACCTTTATGTTTACTGTAACTTACAACGCAAGTCGCAACAGTTACTAAAAGAAGAAAGTTGTTTTGTACCTGTTAGACTTTGTAAGGATTGTTCTATCTCCCAACAAGCCATTACTGCTTCCATGGCATGGACACGGACATGTTGTTGCAATTGTTCTTTGAAGGAACACAGCAATAAAACATAGTGCGACTGCAACAACAAGAACGAAATATCAAGATCTGACTCATATCATTCATATGTAATAAACTTCTGTAGTGCAGCCAGTTTTGTCCACCAACACAACATAGAGAAGAACTTTATATCACAATCAACATGCAAAATTGGAGTCTATGCACTCGATTCACAAATTTACGCATCCAAAGTATTAGCTACGAGACATGCACACCAACACGGATAAGGCACTCCAACGCCTATAATATAAAAAATATAGGACGCCCACACCGTTTTATCCATCTATTATTTATAGTGTTAAAAATATTCTAATTAAAATTAATTTCTTTGATTTTTCATTAATAACCTTGCTTTCAATTGCTTCAATATAATATTTTGTTATTAAGACACGAAAAGTCAACAAAATATACAGAAAATGAGTGTGAAAGTCTGACTAACAGAATCCAAAGTGTGAGAAAAAATTATATTAGTCAGAAAAAGCGGTTTTGATGTGAAGTTTTGTTTGAAAAAACATTTTCCTAATGAAATTGCGAACAATTTTAGCAACATTTTTTTTCTTTCTATTGAAATTATAAAAAAAAAAAAGAAGAAAAGACATATAATATACTCCAAAACCACACAAAAAAATTATCCAATCGAATTTTAAGCTAATTTAATTATACGAAAAAAAGAAAAAAGAGATAAACACGAAAGAAATTTGAGGCTGAAAAAGAAAAGAAAAAGAATATACCATGAAGTGGTCGAGTTCTTTGTCTTCTACGCCGACGATGTTCTGTCCGAACGCGGAGTATTTCTCGACCACATTCTGAGACTGTGCCAGCTGAGCATCAATCCTCGGCAACTGGTCCACCGGCGTCGCAATCCTCAAACACGCAACATGTGCCGACAACAACTGTTCATACAACGGGTGCGACATAATCTCCGCCTTCCATCTCCCCGTCTGCCAGTCTCCTTTACCACCTCCAACATCGCCTTTCAGATCATCTAAATCGTGTACGTCGCCGACAGCAGTAACATCGTCGATGACTTCACCGTGGTGCCGGTGGAGAATCGAGCGGGAAAGCCATTGGCCGGAGTCGGAAGCGGTTTGGAGGTTAAGGAAATTAGAAGCTCCGTTACCGTTATCGTTGGTGGTGTTGTCGTTGTTAACGTCGTTGTTGTTGTTGTGGTTGTTATTGTTGTCGGTGTAGTGGGTACGAAGGATGGCGTTGTTGAGCCAATTAGGTGTGGTTTGGAGTTGGTTTGGGTCGGAATCATGTTTGGAGTTAGGGTCGGGGGAGTCTGGTAAAATGGAACGAAAAGTGTTGTTGTTAGATTGGTCTGTGAAATGGTGGATTGGCATCTCTTGTGAAAGATGTTGGTTGTGATAAGCCATACAATTTTACTAATAAGAAACAAAACAACTCTTTATGTTTATGTTTTATGTGTTTCAACAAAAGAGAGAAAGCGTGACTTTGAGATGTTTTGTTTGGTTTGGTTTGGTGAACTAGTTTGTGATGTTTTATTGTGGGACTAGAAAATGAAGATAAAATATTGTTGTTGTTTTTGGAGAGAGAGAGAGAGAGAGGACAAGACAAGACAATGGAAGATGAAGAATGGAAGGGTAGAGTGAAGGAAAGGGAGGGAAGAAAGGACGTTGTTGTGATCGGAAAATAAATCCAAATAAAGTATAAAGTGGATATAAATAATAAAGTATATATTTATTTTTTTGTATTTTAAATTAAATTCCTTTTTGATTAATTAATTCAAAAGGTGGATTGTAGAAAGAATGAGACAGGCTCATATTTGTCTTTCATGAAAGGTTGGTTTTGTTTTATTTTTTAATTAGTTTATGTTGTCTCATACTTTTTTTTTAAATATTTTACATGTATTTTGAAATTTTACATAAATTGTGATGCGTTTGATGTTGATTTTAATATTTTTTTATCTTGATCTTTTAAATTTAATTCTTAACTCTTTATTTTTCAAACAAAAAAAAAGAGCATGCCTCATTTAAATTCAATCAGTTTAAAAATAAATAAAATATAACTAATAAAATAAGTTAGTATGTCTAAGTCTAATTTTTACTTTTTTTTTTATTTTTTTTATTTATAAGATAAAACTTAAATTCAATTTTTTAAATGTAATTTTTATTATTTTTCAATGAAACTATAATAAATATATTTAAATATTATTTAAAAAAAATTATATATATATATATAAAAAAAATTATACATTTATTATATTTTTATTAGAAAATAATTAAAACTACATCTAAATAATTATACTTAAGTTTTATAAATATTTACTTTGAATATTTGTTCTTATTATTGAATAATTCTGAACTCTGGTTTTAGACTTGTCTGCATGACTATTTAAGCCTAGTGTATATACATTGAACATACCTTACAAATATTTTATAAGTCTTTAGATTAGACTTTTAAATTTTTTTTTTGGAATAACCATATATTAAAAAAAAATTGGAAATAATCATGTTTCGGAAAAAATTACGCAAATAATTATATTTCAGAAGACTCCCAAAGGGAGGAGCCATCTCACTTGGCGCCTCCACTCAGCATTATGCCCTAGGCGCCATCCCACTTGGCACCTCCTCTCTCTTTTAGCCAAGTGAGATGGCGCATGCACTTTAAAAGTGAGAGGATGCGCCATCTCACTTGACTCCTAGGGCAAAATGTTGTTTTTATAAATGATTCGTCTGTTTCTCCGTCATTTCTCACTTTTTCGCATTGTTTTGTTATTTTTTACTCTGTTATTTGCGTCATGACATCGCCCATGATTTTTACCAAAGATAGTTACGTTATCTTCTCCGCCACAAAACCTCCGATGAAAATGAAATTATGGCACATTCACTCCATGGAGCGTTTGAAGCGGGAGTTGATGCGATGGCTAGATGGAGACATCGTGGAGGAGGGAAAAATTAGAAGGATCCAGCAAAGACGAACATCAACCTCACTTGCGACAGGAAAACCTAATGTTTGGTTGGAGGAAGTCAAAACAGACAGCGACGTAATGTTGATGATGCATGGGTCAGATGAAATTGTTTTAACGGTTGTAATTCCGTAGACGGTTTATCGTGTTTTTTTTCTTGTTCGCGCAATGTTTATTGTAACAAATTCTGTTAACGAAAAACCCTAATGTTTACAACATAATAAAGGAAAGATTTTTTGTAATACAATTTTTATGTGGTTGAGGCAGTAGCCCGATTCGGACAACTTTTGCGATTGTGTCCGACCTGGCGACATAAACCACACTTTCTTTCCAGCTTGTCAAGGGAGTCCATTTTGGGAAGACCCTTTTTATTCCTTCGCATTTGGTCATTGTGCCATACTATTTCGCCGTCGTATGCAGGCCAATAATCTGGTTTTGCTACCAAAGGGAAGCTGTTGTTGTAAACGTTGAGCAACGTTTCAGATTTGTAAATGTGTGACAAAAGTTGTAGCGCGTCTTGATGAGTATAGGTACACGCGGAAATGACATGAGAGCAAGGCATACGAAAGGCTTGAAACTTGCCACAATCGCACCAACGAGAAGGTAGTACAACCCTATATTCTTGTCTTGGCAGGCCCTCGTTGTGGTCGATTGTCTCTTTGACAATGAAGTTGTGGTTGTATCGGTCAAACCGTATAACCATATGGGTGTTGGCTTTGGCACTTTCTGCCTTAATGTACTTCATGCAGCTTTCACTCCATAGTTGTCCAGATTGCAACACCGCATTCCATATTTCACCTCTTTTGGCAAACAACGAAGCCATCCTAAAATATGTTGATTTAACCTGTAGTTGTTTAGTTATTGGCTTGCATTTTTGGTAAAACCCAAGTGTGTATGTGTGAATGTCATGACTGATGTCATAACATTCTAGTTTAGTTGTACTGATTCATTAGGTACCTTTGCAGAAAAATATTGTCATTCAGGTGCTGATGTTTATAAGTGTGTATCTGAGCATTTTGCAAAATGATCACATTTTCCTAAATCAGTAGACAGGTTTTCTCAGATGTCATAACAGATGTTAAGACATCCTGTTCTGAACTAACCGGTTTTCAGTTTGGTTAATTCTGAGTTTTTTCAGGAAAATAACTCAGTCTTTCCAGAACAGAATCCTGCGTTTTCTTTGGGTTAACCTAGCTCAACCCTAACCTGGTTAATAGAGTCATGTGACCTAGTCTTAAGGTCAAACGGAATTAACCCTAGGTTTTTGTGGAAACCCTAACTGAAGTTGCAGCTGCTATATATTCAACAGAGCTGCTGTTTTGCAAGGCATCCCTTTTTGGTCAGAAGATCATTTGTAAACTGTATAGGTTTAATTATTGTACTCCAAGCAATTATCATTGTGATAAGTGACTTGGAATAGGTTTTTAATTGTAAGGGTTGTGTAGCACTCAAAGCTTTGAAGCAAGAGTGTTTGAATGTTTCTTGACTAAAGCTGTGAAGCAGAGTCAAGTTAAGTGTGTGTATCACTCAAAGTTGTGAAGCAAGAGTGGTTGTGTTGCTTGATTAAAAAGCTGTGAAGCTTAATCAAGTGTATGTTTTTGAAGAGTGTCTTCATCAATTCATTAGTCAAATTGTTTTATGTATCACTGCTGTGATTGAGGGGGAGTGAGTAGGAACTCAGGTTTAAGTTGTACTTAGATTGAAATTGTATTGGGTAGGTCTTAAGTGAAGGAGATAAACTGGTTGGTTTATTCCTGAATTAACATCTCTTATAGTGGATTTCCTCCCTGGCTTGGTAGCCCCCAGAGTAGGTGTTGTTGCACACTGAACTGGGTAAACAATTGACTGTGTTCTTTACTGTTTTTGTATTTACTGTCTTATAGAAAGTCAGATACGGTGTCATAACATTGAACGTGACATTGAGTATCTGCAGCCAGAATTTCAATTGGTATCAGAGCAGGCACCCTGCCTGTACTACTGGGTGAGATCTAGGGATATCACTTTCTGGCACTATGGACAAAGAAGGAGTTTTTGGAAATAGACCACCCATTCTGGATGGAACTAATTATGACTACTGGAAACCTCGTATGATTTCCTTCTTAAAATCTCTGGACAAAAAGGCTTGGAGAGCTGCTGACAAAGGATGGATCCATCCCACCATAACTGAGAAAGATGGGACAATCAGTCTGAAGCCTGAGGAAGATTGGAGTAAAGAAGAAGATGAGTTAGCCCTGGGAAATTCCAAAGCTTTAAATGCCTTGTTCAATGGAATTGATAGAAACATTTTCAGACTAGTACATCAATATGAACTGGCCAAGGAAGTTTGGGACACTCTCAAAACTACTCATGAGGGCACTTCCAAAGTAAAAATGTCAAGGCTTCAGATGTTGACTACCAAGTTTGAGAATCTAAAAATGATGGAAGATGAAACCATTCATGAGTTTCACATGAACATCTTGGAGATTGCCAACACCTCAGGAGCACTGGGAGAAAAGATGTCAGAAGAAAAACTGGTGAGAAAGATTCTCAGATCCTTGCCTAAAAGATTTGCAATGAAGGTAACTGCCATAGAGGAAGCCCAGGACATCAGCAAGTTGAAAGTGGATGAACTTATTGGGTCTCTTCAGACTTTTGAGATGGGGATCACTGATAATGGTGACAAGAAGAACAAGAGCATAGCACTTGTGTCCAACACTGATGTTGAAGAAAATATTTCAGAAGCTATAGCCATGCTTGGAAGACAGTTCAACAAACTCATCAAAAGAATAGATCCAAAGTCAAGGTCTAATGTCCATAACATTCCCTCTGACATTGACAGTTCCAGCAGAAGACCAAGGTCAGAAGAGAAGGGAAATCAAGGCAGAGGAATTCAATGCCATGGTTGTGAAGGATATGGGCATATTCGAGCTGAATGTCCTACCTTTCTTAAGAAACAAAAGAAAGGAATGACTGTTACTTGGTCTGATTGTGATTCAGAAAGTAATTCTGAAGAAGAATCTGCCAAACTAGTTACTGCTTTAACTGGTGTTTGTACCTCTGAAAGTGACATCAGTGATGAAGAGGTGACTTTTGAAGAACTGGCTGATACTTACAAGAAATTGTGTATCAGAAGTACTGAAGTCTGTGTGCAGAATGAGAAACAATCAAAACTCATCATAAAGCTGGAGGCTGAAAAAAGGGCAAACCTTGAAACTATAAGTCATCTAGAAGGAGAAGTTCAATTGCTGAACTCACAACTGAATCAAATGACCAAATCTGTCAAGATGCTGACAAATGGAACAGACAAATTGGAAGAGATCCTTCAGGTTGGACAAAATGTGGGAAATAAATCTGGACTAGGATTTATGGAAGCAAAGAAATCTGGTACAGATAAGAAGATCAGGCCTGATAAGCAAATGTCAAAACAGATGTCTCAACACAACTCTCAACATCAGGAACAGAGACATA